GGTCAGAGTTCATTTTATTGTTGGAGTTATACCAGGATGCTCCAAAAATTATACAATAGCTAATATTCCGGAAGGCTTTAGGGATAGTTCTCTTCTTTGATATTTTAGCAAAACTCCATATATATATTGTATGTGCTATATATTTTTTTGGACAGGCAAAAGATGTCAAGATATCCGAATCTGAATTCAACAAGGAATTTGTGAAGAAAATCATCCCAAAACTTGATTGGAAAGTTTTTGTTAACGCCGCTGTGCAAGTATGTATGATTGTTTCATTGTTGTTACACAAGCAATTGACATCAATTTTCCATGATATTAATGGATTTCACGCTGTATCTGATTGTTTGTTTTTTATTCTAGATCGGCCATAGCAATGACTTATCCGATGAGTTAATTGATGATTATGAAGACGATGAAGAATACCTCAAAAAAGTACACCATGTACTCATGGAAGTAAGTGTAGGCAGACATTAAATACAACCATTCTTTGTTCTCTCATGTTATACACTCTATAGCATGACCATGTTTCATTTATTGCCTTAATAGTCAATTATAGTAATTTTGTATTAATTTGCATTTAAAGCTAGCCATACACGATCCAGTTTGCCGGAGAGGTCAGACTGCGCAGGCGAACTGCACAGTTTTTCTGGAACGTGTGTGTTACAAGTTTGCGCAGTTTTCGGAGACTGTGCAGGCGGCCGGAAAAGAATCGAAAAACGATTCTTTTGGCCTGCGCAGTCATGATTGTACAGGCATACCGGATCGTGTATGGCTGTATATTGGTATTAGCTGAAGACTATTGGCCGGAAAGCGTGTGACTGCGCAGTCCAACCTCTCCGGCGAACCGGATCGTGTATGGCTAGCTTAAATTTGGACACTAATAAAAATTCTTACTATTTATATTTATTATAAATTTCTAAGTGTGGATTTACTTTAAAAAATGTATGATTAATTCCAGCAGTTCTTAACTTTTTGTTGAACACAGACCTCCAATGAAATATTTTTAGAAATYGCAGACCCCCTACCAATTTTTTTGTTGAGTACCTTTTTTTTACAAAACATCTCATGTTATCATATAATTATTATAACTATTTTCTATTACAAATTATTGGAAGTAGACATAGCTTTATCTCTTACAGTACAAGATATATTTTATATGAAAAAAAAAAAAATAATAATAATCCAAAAATATTGTAATGATACACTCATGTCATCAGAGACATATTCAGAAATTTGGCGCCCGGGTGCCNGGTCCAATCGAAATGAAAATAAAATTGAATGACTAAAAACGAATTTATATATTATTACCATTCTTGACAGAATCGAATTCCGACAAATCCGGGTCCATCACTCCGGGAATCGTAGCCTGACATATCGTAGCTGTTTGTRAGGGCTCAATGAAATGATGAAAAAGATAAAATTTTATTCTTATTTATTATTTATAGAAACAGATAACAGATTGTAACAAGAATGTGTAAATTTATGTATAATGATTTAAACTAATGACAAAAACGGAATATTTAAAGTCAAACGGTAAGTCACTATACATTATGATTATACAATAACAATCTAGTATCAGCAGGCTAGTATCTACATTGTGCACATTGCACAGAATATTTTGACATGATAATGAGCTAAAAAATTAACAAGCCTCTGAACGTCATAGCTGCTGGTAACCTTAGATCATACAATTATTATCGTACACGGGTCTTTGATATCCGTGTATTAAATATTATCGTAAATTGGTTTTAACTTGGTTATTAAAAGATACAAAAAATGAAATGTCCAATAAAAATACAATTTGATTGACACGAGACACGACACGATACCCAACTTACTATATAGCTGAATCTGGTATTCTGGTTTTAAATCATGAAGATACCACGACCGGGCATACTTTTTTGGAGTACCACGCTTCGTACCGTGCCAATGGCCACACTTTTTAGGATTTGATAATAGTTGATTGTGGTTTGTTGTTTGTTTTCATATTTCAGCCGCATAAGGCATAACGCATTCACATATTCACAATTGTTCACTTAGTCTAGCGTCTAGCCATGATATACGGTTTCACGTGGTGTATCCAACCGTCGGCTGCCGATCAGTAATATTAGTTTTTTGCGATACGCTTAAGTAGTCCACTAACTTATCGCCAACCATGAAATTGCTGACGCACAATTTGCTGTCGTCTAAGAGTCTGAAAGGAGTCAAAGTAGGATATCCGCTTCGCATTGTCGTGAGTGATTTCATTGTWGTTTTATTTCCCCGTTGTCCTCATTAATTTATTATTGTTGTCTTCTTATTGTAAAATTGTATGATTTTTTTTTTTAAATATTACTGTGTTTTAGAAAATATTACARTCTATGCAGGTCTACAATAAGTAATAATTATGGTAGAAATGAGAAAAACTAAGAATGAATGATGGCATGGTAAGAAATCTCACATTAGAGACACCTAGTGGCTTTACATTTACATTTTACAATTTATA